AAGCTGCTGTTGCTGGGGATTTGCAGTGTCAGTGCACCGCCGCTGTACAGGGGTTTCGTGCTGGTCCCACGGCAAAATAATATTTGAAGGCAGGATCGTAATCTTGATGAACTGACTGCACAGATGGTATTTTGAGGTGGACTTTCTCACTTAAAAAATATTAAAACTACTTTTTACTAGCAAAGCCGCTCTCTGCCATTTAACACAAGAGAAGCAGAAGATCTGGACACACTTTACTGGACGTGCTTCAGGAGCATCAAAGATGCTATTGAGGCACGTCGGACCTTAATGTGTACAAGCATAAAATATAAGCAGCAGAATCTTTTTTCCCGCTGAAAGAATGTTAGATGTGAATGTAGCATAAGATGCCTTCACTATTTCCACTTTGTTAGAATTTAAAAAAAAAAAGGAAATAGTTATAATGTAATGTAAACTGATTTTTTTTTTTTTTTACATTTCTGTAATTGTACTTTTTCTACATGCATATGTATTCACACTCAGTCTGTTAGCTCAGCACATGCTGTTCGGTATTCCTTTCAGTTTTTCTGTCCTCTGAATCTCAGTCATGCTGGATGGGCTGCAGCAGTGAACAACCTGGGTTTAGGTCTTTCCATAAATGTTTGGATTAAAGTTCAGACTCTGGTTGAGCTGCTAAAAACATTCACAGGCTGCTTCTAAAGTCTCCTTTGTTATCTTGGCTCTATGGGATGTAGTCGTGTTAGAAGTTGCATCATCACCATAGTTTTCCTGAAGACTCTTAATTATTTTTGCTGCTCTAATCATATACTTTATGGGGACCATAGTCATTGATGGTCTCAGTTTTAAGTATTTCCACAAATTCTTAGTTAGATTCAGGTCTGGACCGTAATACAAAATAAATCCTTTGATTGAAACAGCTCTATTGTAGCTCTGGCTGATAGTTTAGGTTTGTTATTTTTCTAAAAAGTGAATTTCAGCTCTTGTCTAATGTCTTTTTCAGCCTCTAACAGCTTTTCTTTTGTTACAATCTAACCATCAACTCTGACCTGCTTCTGTTACTGGCTGAAGATAAACAGAACATCAGTACATTCCCGTTGATGTTGGAATGTACATGTTTTACAATAAATGCAGTGCTTTGGCTAAAAAAGAAACAGGTGTTGCTTGACAGTTATGCATAACGTTGTGTTTGTTTATTAGCTACCATTAAATAAAGCCTTTCTGGTCTGGACATGACAGGATCTAGAAAAAAACCATTGGCAGGATATTACTACTTTAATAATCCATCATTTGTTATGTTGATAAAAAGCTGATCATGTGTGTCCTGCAGGTGGTGTGTGTCCCGCTATGGATCCTGATGTCCTTCCTGTGCCTTGTTGTCCTCTACTACATCATCTGGTCAGTTCTCTTCCTCCGCTCCATAGACATCATCGCAGAGCAACGCCGCACTCACATCACCATGGCAATCAGCTGGATGACCATTGTGGTTCCTCTTCTCACCTTTGAGGTGAGGAATCTTTCAACAGAACATTTACACTGCTCCATATGTTACACAACTGAAGCAGCGCCAAAAAGTGTGTTTCCAGAAAATTTGACAGATCCGTGTCTGCTGAAATGTATTAAAAGAATCAAAAGCTTGGTACATGTGTACACACCTCATGATCAGGTCATTTCATTTGGTGTCCATGTAAACAGAGATTTTGAATTATGATCAACCAAGATTTAGATCAGATCAGGGAAATCTTGTGCATGTAAACATGGCTACCTTGGTGACCTGATTCTGATTGCTGAAATTTATTTCCTGTACTGAAATTCAGCCTGTGTGGTGAGGTTCTAATTTTATTTCAGTATTTTTTCAAGTAGATGTGCTTTACTAAAAGAGGTGTCAAACACCCTGATGTCTTTTTCAAATGTTAAAGGTATTATGGAGTTTTTTTGTTAATTTTTGAAAAGACCCTTCTGTCCACTTAGAAAAAAAAAGCACATGCACCCCTCTGCAACCGCTCCCGAGAGGTATTACTATTAAAATCTTCAATGTCTGTCTGAAACCGTAGCCCAACACACATATGCGACTGAAAGTGCACATGCGCAGAAAAAGATTGCTAACGGAAAAGTTAAGTAGGGACGGCCTTATGTAAACATATCACCAGTATGATTGACAATTAGGAGGAACACTTGTTGAGATGATCCTCCTGAAAGAACATCCTCCACTATACCTTTAGGAGCTGTTTCCTCTGTAATATATTATTTCTAAATTTAAAAGCTGAATATCTTTCAGAGGGATTTAAACTTGTCTTAAATGTTGAGCTATGGGTTATTTTAAAAACGTTTCAATCGATTACACATTTTTGTTCATAACAAACCAGCCAAGCGGTAGCTTTGTTTTTCCATTACACCTGTTAAAAAAACACCTTTACTGGTGAATAATCCTGATAAACAGATGCAGTATTTAATACACCTACCTGTTAAAAAAATAAATTTACTGAACACTTGTCCTGTTGTTTGAAGGTGGGTTTGAATCTGACAATAAGTGTGTATTGATAAAAATCCAACAAATAACATTTAAATCTCTGGCAATACTGATAAGATCAACAACACCCAACAAGAGCTGCTGAATAGAGCTCATAAATTCATGCTTTATTGTCGTATGAATATGAAAGCCGTATATGGATCATAGTAAAGAGAGCAGAGAACAAAGCCTCTCTTAACATTTTGCTTTTGATCTTTATCTGCGTAGATCCTTCTGGTGCACAAGCTGGACGGCCACAACAGTCTGAGCTACGTGTGTGTGTTTGTCCCCCTGTGGCTCTCCCTGCTCACACTCATGGCCACCACCTTTGGGCAGAAAGGAGGGAACCACTGTGAGTATTAGAGGCCATCATCTGCTGCTGTTTTAAATGTTAGAATCATCAGAATGGGTTTTTGTTGATCTTTGAAATTAAAATAGTTTTATCTTTCTTTAGTAAGCTGTTTGTATCATTGGGTTACTTAATTCTCTTGTATTTTCTTCCACCAGGGTGGTTTGGTATCCGTAAGGACTTCTGTCACTTCCTGTTGGAGCTGCTGCCCTTCCTCAGGGAGTACGGCAACGTGTCCTACGACCTCCAACGCAGCGAGGACCCAGAGGCGGTGGAGGATCTGCCTGTCCCTGAGCCGCCACCTAAGATCGCCCCCATGTTCCACAAGAAAACCGGAGTGGTGATCACACAGAGTCCTGGGAAGTACTTTGTCCCTCCACCAAAGCTCTGCATCGATATGCCCGACTAACAGAGCGTCAGAGCTGGAGTGCAGCTGCTGGACTCATGTTTTAAACCTATTAAAGCCAAAACAGCAGAGGAAACTGTTTATAGATGTATCTGCTGACCTGAAGGATTCAGAGAAATGAGCTAAACTGAGCTGCAGGATGATCTGTTCAGAGCCAGTGTAGCGGTGGATCAAAATCCATCAGACTGGTTCCTTCAGCTGTTTGAAGA